CATCTACTCGGTGTTACATCTTGTTCTAGGCACCATGTGCTTGGAGCTCCATCTTACTGTGAGCAACATCTTCTCTGAGCTCCACCTTACTGAGAGCTCCATCTGCTCCGAGCTCTAGCTTGCTTGGAGTTCCAATCATTCTGAGCTCTCTCTTGCTCTGAGTACCATCTGCTTGGAACTCCGTCTTACCCTGAGCAACATCTGCTACGAGTTCCATGTTGCTCAAAGCTCCATCTTCTCCAAGATCCATCTTGCTCAGAGCTGTATCTAAAATCAAGCAATATTTGCACCAAAGTCCCATCTTGCTTAGAGCTCCTTATTGCTCAGCCTTCCATCTGCTCTGAGGACCATCTTGTTCAGAGATCCATCTTGCTCAGAGCTCCAACTGCTCAAAGCAATGTTCGGAGTTCCAGTGAGTCCAAGCTTTATCTTGCTCTGAGCTCCATCTTACACAGAGAAACATCGGCTCCAAGCTCCACCTTGCTTGGAGCTCCTTCTTGTCTGAACTCTGTCTTCTCTGAGTTCCAATCACCCCATGCTCCATCTTGCTTTGAATTCCATCTGCTCAGAGCTCCATCTGCACCAAGCTCCATTTTGCTCGGACCTCCAATCACTCTAACCTCCATCTTGCTCTGAGCACCATCTGCTCTGAGCTCCATCTTGCTCTGAGACCATATGCTTGGAGCTCCATCTTACTCTGACAACATCTGCTCCTAGCTTCATATTGCTCAGAGCTCCATCTCTCCTCTGGAGCTCCATCTGCTCTGAGCTCAACATGCTTGGAGCTCATCTTGCTCAGAGGTCCATCTTACTGTGAGCACCATCTGCTCCATGTGTTTACTGCAGCACTATTCACAATAGGAAAGACATGGAACCAATCTATATGTCCATCAGTGATAGACTGGAAAAAGAAAATGTGCTACATATACACCATGGAATACTATGCAGCCATAAAAAGGTATAAGATCAAGTCCTCTGCAGAGACATGGATGAAGCTGGAAGCCATGACCCTCAGCAAACTAACACAGGAACAGAAAACCAAACACTGCATATTCTCACTCATAAGTGGGAGCTGAACAATAAGAACACATTTTACTACTATTACATCCTCTGAAGATGGTCTGTTTCTCTTAACAAAGGATATCTATACTTTGTAATTTTTTTCTCTCTCTAAAGGATTGTGGCTTCTCCTGTCTGTGCCATTTTAGGGTACAGGCTGACTACCTCACCTTGAAATGACCCACTCCATGTCCACACATGGTTGGTCCCTCCTATAAACTGTTTGTTACCACCCGTGGGTCCACTTGAGGGGAGGTGACCTCACAGAGTACTGCACCAGGAAAATCACCAACTGAAAGAATTGCTGAAACAATGTGTGTGTCTGGTTATTTCAAAGAATAAATATAAGTCAGTTGAAGGTGATAAGGTCGGTAACATCTTGAGGTGATAAAATGTCAGTAACATCTTAGATGACCAAGACTAATCCTGTGGGGCCCAAGAACATATTACAATATGGATTATCCCAGCAAAAGTATCACCCATAAGACAACAGCAAAAGACACTCAGGCTCAAATGTTAAATGTCCTCTCTTGATGTGTGAAAGCACACGACCAACAGGAGGCAAAAACATCAGGGAGACAAAGGTTTTGCTGCATATCTGTGGGCTTCAGTCTCCAGTGAGATACTCAGAGCCTACATCTCCTCTGTTACCACTGCTGCTTTTATCGTACAGCACATTTCCATATATGTTTAATTCTATTTTTTGAATTCTATACTTCATTGTTCTCTCAGTCATGAATCAACATTTCACTTTCAATTTCCAAGTATTTACAATACATGAAAATAAAAGTTATTTTATTTTTTATTTTTTGAGATGGAGTCTCCCTCTGTCACCCAGGCTGGAGCGCAGTGGCACAACGTCAGCTCACTGCAAGCTAGGCCTCCCAGGTTCATGCCATTCTCCTGCCTCAGCATCCCAAGTAGCTGAGACTACAGGCACCAGCCACCATGCCTGGCTAATTTTTTGTATTTTTAGTAGAGATGGGGTTTCACCGTGTTAGCCAGGATGGTCTCGATCTGACCTTGTGATCTAGGCTTGCCTTGGCCTCCCAAAGTGCTGGGATTACAAGCGTGAGCCACCGCGCCTGGTCTGAAAAGTTATTTTTTATATTCAGACTTTCATGCATATTTTTATTTATTCTTCTTTACAACGAATTTTCTAATCTCCAGAGCACAATCAGATAGTAGCTATATTGCAGTAAAGCTCAATTTATCAACTGATTAAACAATCATTGACCTCTTCATACTGTTAAATATACTTTTCTAAAATTGTGGGGGTTTTTTATTTGTACAAATCCATTTAATATTTTATACATTTTTACAGCAATTCTAATTTGGTTAAATTTTTAAAATATACTGTGCTGTAGAATCCTGACAACGTCTTTTTACATCCATGATGATGAACACATGGCATTCTCATCAACTCTATGAATGTGCTTAATAGTATTAGTGGATTCCCTAATGCTGAACCTCACTTGCGCTCCTGCCACAAAGGATGTCTGGTCATGCTACAATATCCTAATGTGTTGATACAATGGCTTCTAATATTTGTAAATTGTACTTTTACATCCATATGTCCTATTTGTCTGTGGTATTCTGCGTGTCTCAATCCAGTTAATGATCTTATATCACCCCAAAATTTGGGGGGGTAATGTTTAACTGCTTTATAACTCTTACACAGTTTAAGTGACATTTGTTTACCTTTCTTTTTTATTTATTTTTTTTTTTGAGATGGCATCTCGCTCTGTCCCCAAGACTGGAGTGCAATGGCATGATCTCGGCTCACTGCAACCTCCGCCTCTGGGATTGAAGCTATTCTCCTGCCTCAGTCTCCCGAGTAGCTGGGATTACAGGCGCACACCACCACGCCTGGCTAATTTTTGTATTTTTAGTAAAGACAGGGTTTCACCATGTGGACCAGGCTGGTCTCAAGCTCTGGACCTCAGGTGATCTGCCTGCCTCGGCCTCCCAAAGTGCCAGGATTACAGGCATGAGCCACCGTGCCTGGCCTACTGAAACTTTTTATACTGGAACTTACTTGTGTATTAGAGTGCTCTTTTGATAAATATCTCTCTGATTTCTATTATTTCATTAACGTTTACCCCTGTTGATTCTAAATTGATGAACCACCTGACTGGTACTGTGTTCGTAATATCGTTAATCACAGTAAAAGTAGGTATTCTTTTAGAAAATCAAGGTTGAAAGCTTAAACACACACACACACACACACAAAGGGAACAAAATAAAACTTAACACCGATCCTCTCCATCCATTAATGGCATAAACACAGAAAGATAACCAAACAGACTAAATGAGAGAGCCAGATAATCAGACCAAAATTATATAGAGTAAACACATTTTTTAGAAACACACCAAAGGCACCCAGGTTGAGAAACTTGGATAGTCACATGCAAAGGACTAAAGAAAGACCCTTATGTTGCACGAGACACAAACATCAACACAAAATAAACTGAACACCTAAGTCTAATCCTGAAACCAAAAAAAACTCCTAGGAAAAAACATAGGGTGACTGTCTATTTTGGGGAAACCTGAATCTGTGCACACCAGTTGCAAAAAGAAAAAATTAAGGAGAATATAACGATAAATAATACGATAGCTTCGCCATCTCTCTTATTTCCCAATGGGACACAGAAATCACTGCTAACAAAAGCAAATATAAACATGTTAGACAAAGGACAACTTTAAAATTTCTAAACAAGGAGAAAACAATGAACCCAAAGAAAAGGCATCCTGCAGATTGGGATAAAATTACGGAAAATCATGTATCTGAAAGGAACTGTTATCTAACATACACAAGAGACTAAAGGTACTAAGTGGGCAAAAAGACAAAACAACTAAAAACTATATTTATCCAAACAATCTGCTACTGGAATAAAAATATAAAGGCTACCCAATGGACGGAATGAGGGAGTCCCATATGCCACCCAAATGTATATACAGGGAACACATTTTTCAAAATAACAAAAAAAGGCACAATGGGAAAAGGAAAGTCTGTTCAATAAACAATTTTGAGCAAACTGGATAACCACATGAAAAACAGTGAAATAGGACAAAAGTCAAGGTAAATTACACTGAAGTCCTAAACTAAACCTTGAAACCACTTACTTCTCTCAGGAAAACACAGAGTGAGAGTATACTTTAGAAGACTAATCTACACACACAAGTTGCAAAATGTAAAATACAAAAAGAAAAATAAAAATTAGAAGAAAAAAACCCATAGACAATGCCACGGTTTGGCAATCTTTTTCACTGTTTTTAATTGCACACAAAAGTCACCACTAATATATAAACATGTGGGACTATGGAAAACATTGGCTCTTATGAAAAGGAAACAATGAACCAGAAGGGAAAGCATCTCACAGATTGAAAGAAAACTAGGGAAAATCCTATCTTTGAAAGGGGTCATTATAAAACATGTGTAAGAAACTAACAGTACCATGTGAGGGAAAAACAAAAAGAAACAAAAACAAATACCCAAGTTAAGTCTGGGCAAATGACCTGAATAGATATGTCTGAAAAGTAGATGTGAAATTGACTCACAGGTAAAAGAAAAGCTTCTCCAAAGCTCTAATCCTCACAAGAATGTCAAGGAAAACCACACTGAGATACCACTTCCATCCACATAGAATGAATGTTACCGAAAACAAAAAAAATAAATAAATGAATAAAAGTTTGAAAAGGAAACCACCAGTATAGACTTGCAGAAACTCTTCTCATACACTATTGGTGGGAATGTCTATTTGTACGCAGCCTAGGAAAAACAGCTGGAAGCTCCTCAAACAAAGTAAAAACACCATTTCATCTAGCCACCCACCACTGGCTGTACATTTACAGCCAATGAAATTCCTATGTGGAAGAGCTACCCGCCTTGCCCTGTATACTGTAGTACTCATAATAGCCAAGATAGGAAATACACCTACCTTTTCATCCATTGATGAAGGGATGAGGAAACTGCAATGTTCATCCAGAACGGAATATTCTTCAACCATAGAAATGGGTGAAATCTAGTCATTTGCAGCCATGTGGAAAAACCTGGGGGACATTATGTTAAATGAAATGAGCCAGGCAGAGAAAGGCATATACTGCATAATCTCACGCATATGGAATCTAAAACACACGCATGTGGAATCTAAAATACTTGACCTCATAGAAGTACAAAGTTCAACAGTGGTTACCAGAGGCTGGGGAGAAGAGGGGGCCTGGGCAGGGATTGGTGATGGGTACAAAGTTACACTTAGAAAACTGAGATCAATCCGGCCCTTCTCTTCTATAGCAGGGTGACTAGGGTTAATATTGTAGCGAATTTTTCAAATAGCTGGAAAGGATGCTGAATATCCTCTCCATAGTCAAGTAACACTTAGAGGACTTCATAGACGCTAAATACTGTGATTTGATCAATATGCTAGGTGTACCTATATCAAAATGGCTCCTGCACCCTCTAGTTATATACATACACTCTAGGGCGATTTCTTTAAAAAAAAAAAAAAAAGATGCCAATGATGCTAAAATTCACATGGAACCATGAAACATCCTGAATTTCTAAAACAATCCTGGAAATACAAAGCACATGGGATGCATCACTGTCCTCCATTTCAAAATATATTGAAAAGCTAGTTATCTAAACAATAGATGACTGGCATTAAGTAAGAAACCCAAACCAACAGACAGAATAAGGGAGCTCAATCACAAACCCATTTTGTAAAAGAACACCAAAAAACACAATGAAGAAAGGGGAATCTGTTTAATAAATTGTTTTGAAAATTGGATATTCCTATGTAAAATAATAAAATAGGACCCCTGTTGTATAAAAGCCACAACAATCAACTCAAATGAATTAGAAACTCATACACAAAACTTGAAAGCATCAAGCTCCTCCAATGAGAAGACATACGGTGTGGGTATATTTAGGTCAGCGTGGATCTGTGTTCACAGTATGCCAAAACAAAACAAAAAATACAGGGGGAAAACTCATGGGTGATGGATTAGTTTGGTTATAATTTGATTTTCTTCATCAGTCACCTACATCACAGGGAACCAAGAAAACAGACACATGTGGGACTCATCACACTCTAGAGTTTGTGCCCAAGCAGATTAAAAAAAAAATGAAAAAAAATTAAAAATTATCCTGAAGTTTACAAGAAAGGTTTCAGCAAACACACATCTGAAAAAAGATTGTCTTCAAAATGTCTAAGCAACTAACATTACTTACTAGCAAAAACACAAAAGAGAAACTAATAACCAAACAAAATGGGGCAAAATAACCTGAATAGACATTTCTGCAAAGAAGACATAACATTGAAAACAAGTTTTTAAAACTTGGATAACATCACAAATGATGAGAAAGATGTAAATCAAAACAGCACACATATCATCTCACTATAATTCAAATGGATGTTACCAAAGCGATAAAATATATTAAAAGAGACAAAAATGCTGGTGTAAATTTCCAGAAAGGAACTCATTTGATAAGAATGTTAATTAGTGTACATACTACAGAAACCAGTGGGAGGTTCCTCCAAAAATTAAACCTACAACTACCACTGCAGTGGTAGTTCTAACAATTCAACTACTAGAATTCACTAATAATTCTACTACTAAGTACACTTTCAGTGCAAAAGAAATCAGTCCATGCAAGAGATATCTGCCATCCTATGTGGACTGCAGCACTATTCACAATTGCCAAGATAAAGGATAAACTTACCTGTCCATCCACAGATGAAAGGATAAAGTAACTGTGGTGGATGTACACGAATAGAATATTCTTCAGCCAGAAAAACAGAATGAAATTTCATCATTTGGAGCCACACTGTTGAACCTGGAGGACATCATGGTAAATGACCTAAGCCAGGCAGAGAAAGAAAATCTTTGCCACATCTCACTCACGTAGAATCCAAAATAAAAGTCTTTATTGCATAGATCTAGAGAACACAATAGTGGCTACTAGATATTGGGGGGAAGAGGGGGCATGGGCAGGGATCAGAAATAGGTGCAAAGTTACACTTAGATGAATGAGATGTTCCTCTCTGTTCCACAGTACAGTGACTAGAGGTTAACACAACATTATACGTTTTTCACAAAATCTGGAAAAAAAGATTCCAAATGTTTTCACCACAAAGAAATTAACAACTGTTTGTGATAATACAGACTCTTGCAAATGCAAGATTCCAAATTGTTTTCACCACAAAGAAATGAACAACTGTTTGTGACAACAGAGACTCTAAATATCCTGATTTTACCATTCCTCTGTGTCTGCATTAACCAAAACGCCCCATTCTAACTTCCCCCATTGTATAACTTTACTATGTGGCCAACCTTTTGAAAAATATGTAAATACGCAAGGCTAAAATTCACATGGACCACAAAACACCCTGAATTTCCAAAGCAATCCTGAGAAATCCAAACTACATCAGTTGTGTCACACTTCCCGATTTTAAATTTCATTGAAAAGCTAAGGACCCCATTACACACAGAGCAGTGGAACAGATTAGACAACCCCGACGTAAACCTGCACCCCAAACAGCATCTGATCTTCAACAAAATCCACACAACTAAGCTTTGGAGAAAGGACTCCCTCCTCTCAATAGACGGCGCTGGGATAAATGTCTAGCCAGTTGCAGAAGAAAAACTGGCGGGCCCCTGTGTCTCATCGTGTGCAGAAATTAACTCAAGATGAATGAAATATGTAAATGCAAGACCTCAAACTATGAAAAGCCTGCAAGAGAACCTAGGAAACACCCTTCTTCACAGAGGATTTGGCAGAGCATGGATATGCCTAAGTCCCCAAAAGCAAGTGCAACTAAAACAATTATTGACAAGTAGGACCTAATATACAAAAGAGCTGCTGCACAGCAGAATAAATTACCAACAGAGTAAACAGACAGCCTACACAACGGGAGAAAATGTTCCCACATATGCACCTGATGAAGTCTAATATCGAGAATGTACCTCAAATATGTTAAGTAAATAAATCAGCAAAACAAAAACTCAATGAAGAAAAAGGGCAAGGGGCATGAAAACATGCCATCTCAAAGGTTTACAGCTACCAACGGACAGGACAACATTTCTCTACCTCAGTAATCATCAGAAAAATGCAAAGCAAAAGGTCCATGAGATAGCATTTTACAGTTGTCAGAATGAAAATTATGACACAGTCCACAAGAATGAATGCCGGTGAGGCAGGGGAGGAGAGGGATGCTGGTCTGCTGTTGGTGGAAATGCAAACCAGTTCAGACACCATGGAAAGCAATGTGGGGATTTCTCAAATAATTTTCTCCACATCACTAATCCTCACAAAAATGTCCATGAAAACCACACCAAGATTCCATCTCATTCCTCTCAGAATGAATACTATCAAAAACAAACAAAACAAAATGTTTGAAGGTGATAGCCAGTATAAATTTACAGAAGGGTAACCTCTTCCACGCTATTGGTGGGTTTGTAAATTAGTATATACACTATGAAAAAACAGCTAGAGGTTCCTGAAAAAATTCACAGTAGAACTACCATGTCAGCTTGCAGCCCCCACCACTGGTTCCACATTTGAAGCAGTTGAAATCCCTAGGTTGAAGAGAACTATCTGCCTTCCCATGGGTATTAAAGCACTTGTAGCTGTGACCAAGGTACAGAACCAACCTACCTGTCCATACACAGCTGCAGGGATGAAGAAACTGCTGTACAGATGCACCACAAAATATGTTTCAGCCACAAAGCTTTGGGAAATCCTGCCATCTGCAGCCACATAAAGAAATCTGGAGAACATCAGGTCTAAAAAATGAGCCTGGTAGAGAAAGTCCCATGCCATGTGATCGCAGGCATGTAGACTGAAAAAAGTTTTGTCTCCTAGAAGTAGAAAGTTCAATAGGGGTTACCAGAGGCTGCTGGGGAGGTGGAGGGGGTCTGGGAAGGAATCAGTAATGGGTACAAACTTACTCTCAGAAAACAGTAATCAATTCTGGTCTTCCATTCCACAGCAGGGTGACTAGCCTTAACACTAATGTATCATATGTTTCAAAGTAGCTAGAAGGAAAGATTCTGAATATTGTTACCACTCAAAAAATATTAACTATATGAGGTATAGAGATGTTAAATAACCCGAATTTATCATTACTCAACATATACATGTATCAAAATCTTCCTTGTACCCTCTAATTATATACATTTAGTATATAGCAAATAGTGTTTTAAGAAATATAAAGAAACAATGCCAAAATTTATGCAGAAATGTGAAACACCCTGAATTTCCAAAGCTATCCTGAGAAATACAAACCATACAGGATGCATCACATTCCCTGAGTTCTAATTAAATGAAAATCCCTAGTTAACCAACCCATATGTTACTGGCATACACAGAGAAACACAGACCAATAAGCAAAATGAGGACACTCAATAATAAATTTATATAGAGTGAACAAATAACAAATGTATATAGAGTGAACACATTTTTCAAAACACCACCAAAATGACACAATGGAAAAGGTTTCAAAAACTAGATATCCATATGCAAAAGAAAAATACAAGACTCTTATGGTACTAAATACACAATAATCAACTCAAAAGGATTAATGATTATACACAAAACTTGCAACCATAAAGTTACTATAAAGACAACCTCAGGTGTGCATATACTTGGGGATGTGCATATACTCGGATGTATGCTCACTTTTTGCTCATGTATGCAAAAAGTAACAAAAATACAAGGGAAAAAAATAATTGACAATGAACTCCTTTGCTGATTTTGTTTTTCCTTGATTAGTAAACAACAGCACAGCTAACCAAGAAATTATACACATTTGGGACCACGTCAAACCAAAGAGTTTGGGCCCAACAAAGGAAACAATGAACACAACGAAAAAGTATACTAAAAATTATAAGAAAAGTTTAGGCAGACAGAAGACAGGTGATTTCTGCATTTTCAACTGAGGTACTGGGTTCATCTCACTAGGGAGTGCAGGACAATCAGTGCTGGTCAGCTGCTGCAGCCAGAGCAGCAAGAGCTGAAGCAGGGCGAGGCATCGCCTCACCTGGGAAGCTCAAGGGGGAAGGGAATCCCTTTTCCTAGCCAGGGGAACTGAGACACACAACACGTGGAAAATCGGGTAACTCCCACCCCAATACTGCACTCTACCAAGGATCTTAGCAAACAGGCACACCAGGAGATTATATCCCACACCTGGCTGGGAGGGTCCCACGCCCACGGAGCCTCCCTCATTGCTAGCACAGCAGTCTGCAATCTCGCGGCAAGGCAGCAGCAAGGCTGGGGGAGGGTCGCCTGCCATTGCTGAGGCTTAAGTAGATAAAGCCACTGGGAAGCTCGAACTCGATGGAGCTCACAGCAGCTCAAGGAGTCCTGCCTGTCTCTGTAGACTCCACCTCTGGGGACAGGGCACAGCTAAACAACAACAACAACAGCAGCTGAAACCTCTGCAGATGCAAATGACTCTGTCTGACAGCTTTGAAAAGAGCAGTGGATCTCCCAACACGGAAGATGAGATCTGAGAACGGACAGACTGCCTGCTCAAGTGGGTTCCTGACCCCTGAGTATCCTAACGGGGAGACATCCCCCACTAGGGGCAGACCGACACCCCACACCTCACATGGTGGAGTACACCCCTGAGAGGAAGCTTCCAAAGCAAGAATCAGACAGGTACACTCGCTGTTCAGCAATATTCTATCTTCTGCAGCCTCTGCTGCTGACACTCAGGCAAACAGGGTCTGGAGTGGACTTCAAGCAATCTCCAACAGACCTACAGCTGAGGGTCCTGACTGTTAGAAGGAAAACTAACAAAAAGGAAGGACACCCACACCAAAACCCCATCAGTACGTCACCATCATCAAAGATCAGAAGCAGATAAAACCACAAAGATGGGGAAAAAGCAGGGCAGAAAAGCCGAAAATTCAAAAAATAAGAGCGCATTGCCCCCTGCAAAGGAACGCAGCTCATCGCCAGCAACGGATCAAAGCTGGACGGAGAATGACTTTGATGAGATGAGAGAAGGCGGCTCCAGTCCATCAAACTTCTCAGAACTAAAGGAGGAATTACATACCCAGCGCAAAGAAACTAAAAATCTTGAAAAAAGAGTGGAAGAATTGATAACTAGAATAATTAATACAGAGAAGGCCATTAACGAATTGACAGAGATGAAAACCATGACACGAGAAATACGTGACAAATGCACAAGCTTCAGTAACCGACTCGATCAACTGGAAGAAAGAGTATCAGCGATTGAGGATTAAATGAATGAAATGAAGCAAGAAGAGAAACCTAAAGAAAAAAGAAGAAGAAGAAATGAACAAAGCCTGCAAGAAGTATGGGACTATGTAAAAAGACCAAATCTACGTCTGATTGGGGTGCCTGAAAGTGAGGGGGAAAATAGAACCAAGTTGGAAAACACTCTGCAGGATATCATCCAGGAGAACTTCCCCAATCTAGTAGGGCAGGCCAACATTCAAATTCAGGAAATACAGAGAACGCCACAAAGATATTCCTCAAGAAGAGCAACTCCAAGACACATAATTGCCAGATTCACCAAACTTGAAATGAAGGAAAAAATTTTAAGGGCAGCCAGAGAGAGAGGTCAGGTTACCCACAAAGGGAAGCCCATCAGACTAACAGCAGATCTCTCAGCAGAAACTGTACAAGCCAGAAGAGAGTGGGGGCCAATATTCAGCATTCTTAAAGAAAAGAATTTTAAACACAGAATTTCATATCCAGCCAAACTAAGTTTCATAAGTGAAGGAGAAATAAACTCCTTTACAGATAAGCAAATGCTTAGACATTCTGTCACCACCAGGCCTACCTTACAAGAGACCCTGAAGGAAGCACTAAACATGGAAAGGAACAACCGGTACCAGCCATTGCAAAAACATGCCAAAATGTAAAGACCATCGAAGCTAGGAAGAAACTGCATCAACTAACGAGCAAAATAACCAGTTAATATCATAATGGCAGGATTAAGTTCACACATAACAATATTAACCTTAAATGTAAATAGACTAAATGTTCCAATGAAAAGACACAGACTGGCAAACTGGATAAAGAGTCAAGACCCATCAGTCTGCTGTATTCAGGAGACCCATCTCACATGCAGAGACATACATAGACTCAAAATAAAGGGATGGAGGAAGATCTACCAAGCAAATGGAGAACAAAAGAAAGCAGGGGTTGCAATACTAGTCTCTGATAAAACAGACTTTAAACCATCAAAGATCAAAAGAGACAAAGAAGGCCATTACATAATGGTAAAGGGATCAATTCAACAGGAAGAGCTAAGTACCCTAAATATATATGCACCCAATACAGGAGCACCCAGATTCATAAAGCAAGTCCTTACAGACTTACAAAGAGACTTAGACTCCCATACAATAATAATGGGAGACTTCAACACCCCACTGTCAACATTAGACAGATCAACGAGACAGAAATTAACAAGGATATCTAGGAATTGAACTCATCTCTGCAGCAAGCAGACCTAATAGACATCTACAGAACTCTCCACCCCAAATCAACAGAATATACATTCTACTCAGCACCACATCACACTTATTCCAAAATTGACCACATAATTGGAAGTAAAGCACTCCTCAGCAAATGTACAAGAACAGAAATTATAACAAACTGGCTCTCAGACTACAGTGCAATCAAACTATAACTCAGGACTAAGAAACTCAATCAAAACCGCTCAACTACATGGAAACTGAATAACCTACTCCTGAATGACTACTGGGTACATAACGAAATGAAGGCAGAAATAAAGATGTTCTTTGAAACCAACGAGAACAAAGATACAACATACCAGAATCTCTGGGACACATTTAAAGCAGTGTGTAGAGGGAAATTTAGAGCACTAAATGCCCACAAGAGAAAGCAGGAAAGATCTAAAATTGACACTCTAACATCACAATTAAAAGAACTAGAGAAGCAAGAGCAAACACATTCGAAAGCTAGCAGAAGGCAAGAAATAACTAAGATCAGAGCAGAACTGAAGGAGATAGAGACACAAAAAACCCTTCAAAAAATCAATGAATCCAGGAGTTGGTTTTTGGAAAAGATCAACAAAATTGATAGACCGCTAGCAAGACTAATAAAGAAGAAAAGAGAGAAGAATCAAACAGACGCAATAAAAAATGATAAAGCGGATATCACCACTGACCTAACAGAAATACAAACTACCATCAGAGAATACTATAAACACCTCTATACAAATAAACTAGAAAATCTAGAAGAAATGGATAACTTCCTGGACACTTACACTCTCCCAAGAATAAACCAGGAAGAAGCTGAATTCCTGAAGTAGCAGGCTCTGAAATTGAGGCAATAATTAATAGCCTACCAACCAAAAAAAGTCCAGGACCAGATGGATTCACAGCTGAATTCTACCAGAGGTACAAGGAGGAGCTGGTACCACTCCTTCTGAAACTATTCCAATCAATAGAAAAAGAGGGAATCCTCCCTAACTCATTTTATGAGGCCAACATCATCCTGATACCAAAGCCTGGCAGAGACACAACAAAAAAAGAGAACTTTAGACCAATATCCCTGATGAACATTGATGCAAAAATCCTCAATAAAATACTGGCAAACCGGATCCAGCAGCACATCAAAAAGCTTATCCACCATGATCAAGTGGGCTTCATCCCTGGGATGCAAGGCTGGTTCAACATACGCAAATCAATAAACGTAATCCAGCATATAAACACAACCAAAGACAAAAACCACATGATTATCTCAATAGATGCAGAAAAGGCCTTTGACAAAATTCCACAGCCCTTCATGCTAAAAACGCTCAATAAATTCGGTATTGATGGAACGCATCTCAAAATAATAAGAGCTATTTATGACAAACCCAGGGCCAATATCATACTGAATAGGCAAAAACTGGAAAAATTCCCTTTGAAAACTGGCACAAGACAAGGATGCCCTCTCTCACCACTCCTATTCAACATAGTGTTGGAAGTTCTGCTTAGGGCAATCAGGCAAAAGAAAGAAATAAAGGGTATTCAGTTAGGAAAAGAAGAAGTCAAATTGTCTCTCTTTGCAGATGACATGATTGTATATTTAGAAAACCCCATTGTCTCAGCCCAAAATCTCCTTAAGCTGATAAGAAACTTCAGCAAAGTCTCAGGATACAAAATCAATGTGCAAAAATCACAAGCATTCTTATACACCAGTAACAGACAAACAGAGAGCCAAATCTTGAATGAACTTCCATTGACAATTGCTTCAAAGAGAATGAAATACCTAGGAATCCAACTTACAAGGGATGTAAAGGACCTCTTCAAGGAGAACTACAAACCACTGCTCAGTCAAATAAAAGAGGACACAAACAAATGGAAGAACATACCATGCTCATGGATAGGAAGAATCAATTTCGTGAAAATGGCCATACTGCCCAAAGTAATTTATAGATTCATGCCATCCCCATCAAGCTACCAATGAGTTTCTTCACAGAATTGGAAAAAACTGCTTTAAAGTTCATATGGAACCAAAAAAGAGCCCACATTGCCAAGACAATCCTAAGTCAAAAGAACAAAGCTGGAGGCATCACGCTACCTGACTTCAAACTATACTACAAGGCTACAGTAACCAAAACAGCATGGTACTGGTACCAAAACAGAGATATAGACCAATGGAACAGAACAGAGTCCTCAGAAATAATACCACACATCTATAGCCATCTGATCTTTGACAAACCTCAGAAAAACAAGAAATGGGGAAAGGATTCCCTATTTAATAAATGGTGCTGAAAAAATTGGTTAGCCATAAGTAGAAAGCTGAAACTGGATCCTTTCCTTACTCCTTATATGAAAATTAACTCAAGACGGATTAGAGACTTAAATGTTAGACCTAATACCATAAAAACCCTAAAAGATAACCTAGGTAATACCATTCAGGACATAGGCATGGGCAAGAACTTCATGTCTAAAACACCAAAAGCAATGGCAACAAAAGCCAAAATTGACAAATGGGATCTCATTAAACTAAAGAGCTTCTGCACAGCAAAAGACACTACCATCAGAGTGAACAGGCAACCTACAGAATAGGAGAAAATTTTTGTAATTTACTCATCTGACAAAGGGCTAATATCCAGAACCTACAAAGAACTCAAACAAATGTACAAGAAAAAAACAAACCACCCCATCGAAAAGTGGGCAAAGGATATGAACAGACATTTCTCAAAAGAAGACATTCATACAGCCAACAGACACATGAAAAAATGCTCATCATCACTGGCCATCCGAGAAATGCGAATCAAAACCACAATGAGATACCATCTCACACCAGTTAGAATGGCAATCATTAAAAAGTCAGGAAACAACAAGTGCTGGAGAGGATGTGGAGAAATAGGAACACTGTTACACTGCTGGTGGGATTGTAAACTAGTTCAACCATTATGGAAAACAGTATGGCGATACCTCAAGGATCTAGAACTAGAAGTACCATATGACCCAGCCATCCCATTACTGGGTATATACCCAAAGGATTATAAATCATGCTGCTATAAAGACACATGCACACGTATGTTTATTGCGGCACTATTCACAACAGCAAAGACTTGGAATCAACCCAAATGTCCATCAGTGACAGACTGGATTAAGAAAATGTGGCACATATACACCACGGAATACTATGCAGCCATAAAAAACGATGAGTTAGTGTCCTTTGTAGGGACATGGATGCAGCTGGAAACCATCATTCTCAGCAAACTATCGCAAGAACAGAAAACCAAACACCGCATGTTCTCACTCATAGGTGGGAACTGAACAATGAGATCACTTGGACTCGGGAAGGGGAACATCACACACCAGGGCCTATCATGGGGAGGGGGTAGGGGGGAGGGATTGCATTGGGTGTTATACCTGATGTAAATGACGAGTTGATGGGTGCTGACGAGTTGATGGGTGCAGCATGCCAACATGGCACAAGTATACATATGTAACAAACCTGCACGTTATGCACATGTACCCCAGAACTTACAGTATAATAATAATAAAAAAAAAAAAAGAAAAGTTGGGCAAACATACAGTGAATAAGTGGTTATTTTTGAAAAGGTACAAGCCAGTAATACTACCAGCTAGCAGAAAAGCAAACAAACAAACAAACAAACAAACAGAAACATAACCAGTCCAAAATGGGGCAAATAACCTGAGGAGCTATTTGTGCAAAGAAGACAGGAAACTGACCCAATGTTTACAAAAACGTGGTTAACACTACTACTCATGGAAAAAAGGTAGATCAAAACCACACTCTGATCTCATCTCACTCCAACTAGAATGAATATTACAAAAAGATAAAAATATTTAAAAGATAATTCCTGGTATAAATTTCCAGAAAGTGGAACTGTTTGTGGAAATGTAAATTAGTATTAACACTACAAAAAACAGTTGGGGGTCCTGCAAATAATAGAAAAACAAGAAATAACATACCATCTAGCACTACTGAATATGCATTCAACCTACCTGTTCATTCACAGATAAAGGGATCAAGAAATTCTCATATACATATACTAGGGAATATTATTTGGCCATCAAAATAATGAAACAGTGTCATTTAGAGCAACCCAGAAGAACCTGGAAAACATTATGTTAAATGTAATGAGTTATGCCTAGAAAGACAAACACTGCAGGATACCACTCATGTGAAATCTTAAGATGTTTATCTTAAAGAAGTAGGAAGCACAATATTGGTTACCAGGGTCTGGGAGATAGAGGGGGAATGGGGAAGGATTGGTTAAGGAAACAAAGTTACCTTAACTTTATAGGAATAAATCTAAGTGTTCTCCTCCTCAGCCTGGTGACTGGAGTTAACAAGATTACATTTTTTTAAAGAGCAGGAAGGTAGAATTTTGAATGTTCTCTACACACACAGAAAAAATACCTAGATGAGAGAATAGACATCCTGAAGTACCCTAATTTGATCATTACCCAATCTACATGTATGAAAATGTACCCCTAATTATGGACCTTTATGTTGTGAAAAAATGTTAAAAGAAATAAATACATATTGCTAAAAATCACAGGAAACCACAAAAGTAATGAATATCTAAAGGAATCCTGAGAAATACAATCAAAGCGAGGACCCACAATGCTTGATATCAAATTACACTGCCAGGTTGTAGTTATGCAGCAGATATATGGTACTTGCATAAAAACAAATACCTAGAACTATGGACAAAAACAAGGAGGACAAAAACATGGCCAACACAAATATGGACATAGTCAACCGACTTTGATAAAGAACATCACAATGTGGAAGAAATACCCTGGAAGAAAAACCTCATTGACAATTAAGTGCTTTGTCACTGATATATATTTTCTTATATGGGTGACCAAAATTACATGCATGAAACGCAAAAATAAACATATGGGACTACATCAACCTGAAAAGTTTCTACACAGCAAAGAAAACTACTTTCCAAATAAAAAAAAAGTATCCTATAGATTAGGCAAAAACTTCAGGCAATCAGGTAATTCATGAAGAGTTGTCATCTAATGTGTACACACACAAAAAAAACACTACAAAGTAGCAAAATAATCCAATCTAATATGTCGCAAAGAACCTGAACAATTCTGCGCAGACATAAAATCTAACAACAGATAAGGGATAAGGTCCTCAAAATTAACTATTCATTAGAAAACTGTAATTCAAAACCACACGCAGATAATCTCACACTTATTGAATACTCCTAGAAATTTTTTTCAAAATAGGAGGGGCCGGGAGCGGTGGCTCGCACCCGTAATCCTAGCACTTTGGGAGGCTGAGGTGGGAGGATCACCCGAGGTCAGGAGTTTGAGACCAGCCTGACCAATATAGTGAAACCTGTCTTTACTACAAATACAAAAATTACCCAGGCATGGTGGTGGGCGCCTGTAGTTCCAACTACTTCAGAGGCTAAGACAGGAGAATTGCTTGAAACTGAGAGGCAGAGGTTGCAGTGAGCCGAGATGGCGCCACTGCACTCTACCTGGGAGACAGAGCGAGACTCTATCTCAAAAAAAAAAAAAGGAATGTGGGTGTGCTTTTCGAAAAAGGGGAACTCATACATACACTGTAGGTGGAAATGAAAACTACGATACACACTATGGAAAACAGCGAAATAGCTAGAGACTCCTCAAAGAATTGAAACTACAGCTGTAGTTGCTCTAGCAAGGTCTCTTTCTAACGGTCCTGGGGCATCAAAAATAACCCTAGACCCCAGCTCAGAGTCCCGTGGGGCTCACAGGGACCCAGGTCCCGCGCTTCACCGCCGGCTCTGGGCCAGGGCGCTCCTGTACACTGAACGCGGGTCGGACAGGGGCATAGCCTTCCTGTCTGGGATGCAGACGTTGCCGCGGCCAAGGCCCCACAACCGACCCCACGTAGACAACTCGGGCCCAGATGCCTACCAAGAAGTCAGAGCCCGAAAGCAGGGAGCGGCCAGAAAGGAGCAGAGAGCTGCCAGGAAGGTGCAGGGAGGCCAGGAGGGTTCCCGGCGGGGTCCATGCCCCCGCCACTTACCTCCAAGACCTGCCTCTTCCTCCACCGTCACATGGAAACCACCACCGCTTCTCCGAACCTCGCTCTGACCACGCAACTGCTGCTGCTGCTGGAACCGCGCACGAAGCGCAGTCTCGGCTTCCAGGGGAATGCAGGCTGGCGGCGTCCCTCGCGCCAGGCTGAAGCACCACCCCTTCTTAAAGGGGCCGCGGCTCGGATTGGCCAGAAGCAGCTTGCCTTGCGGCATAGGCTGAGCCTCTGCCCACCCACAGGGTTGGACGAAAGGCCCCCAGTCTCTCATCCTCCCCGGCTCTAAGGCCCTGGAGGTCGCAGGAGCCTCCCTATGACCCCAGCCCCGAGATCGGCTCCCTAGCGCCTGGGACCTGCCCCTGCCCTCCTCTGGACCTCAGCTTCACCATCCGCAAAGGAAGCGGCCTGGCCGGAGCTCTGGGGTCCCTCAAACTCGGCGCCTCAGGATCTAGGATGGGCTCCCCTGACCCTCTGCAGAGGGGGCCCAGAGAACCACCGAAAGCTGGGAGCTGGAGGGACAGTACCGAGGGCAGCAGGGCCTCCCCGGCCTCACTGTCCGCATCCATCCTGTGGGAGCCCGGCGGCCTCGGTAGGGCCCAGACAACCGCGGCCTCACCAGGGCTGCCTGGGTCACCAGGCTCCCCAGAAGGCAGGCAGGGGCCCTGGGGTATGGTGCCACCTCAGCTTCCCTCTGCGTCAGCGCCTGCGAGGGGCCCTGCGGACTCCAGACCCGCCCCTTCCCAGAGAGGGGGACCCGCATTGGTCTCTGTGACGCCCACGGGAGGGGCCGTACTGACCTCTCCCAGGGAACTGGGGGTGAGGCAGGGGGAATCCCGGCCACGTCTTGAAGCTCGCTGCGCCCCTCAACCCCAGAAAGCACGCAGGAGCAAAGGAAAGGAAGGAGAGCCCATACATTTTCAATCTTCCATTTCCTTGTTTTCTTTTTTCTTCCCCCCCTCCAAAAGGAAAGACAGTGTAGCTTCGTCGCCTGTACATCATCCATTCCCCAGGGCCTTGGTGCAGATCCAGCTCTCTGCTTGCCTTTGGCCTGCCCAGGTGAGGTATACGGCTGCCACAGCGCTGAGGTCAAGCCTGGCTGGGGCGCACAGGCCGCTGCGGGTGCTGGCTGCGTGCCTCCTGGGAGGTGGAACAAGAGGGTGCCCCAGACCCTGGCTGCAGAGCTGTTGATGTCATGCCCGGCGCCCTCCATCCACTGCCTCCGGGCAGCGCTCCAGAGCCCCATCCGGCGCAAGAAGTCTATCACTTCGTCCGTCATTCGTTGGAAAAAATCAAAAGCACATCATAATCCCTGGAACAATCACTGAAAAATACGTCAGAAATAGAGCAAAATAATAAAATAGGATTGTAAATGCCACACTGAAATAAGTTTATTTTAAAAATGGTAGTCAATGGAAAAACAGGATCAGAAGACAGGAGAGAGGAAAAACAAATAGTTATCTGACTGAAACAGAATTAGAAATTAACAACAGAAAGAAGTATTGGACATCTGAAAATATGTGAAAATTTAACAACCCACCTCTAAATCATTGGATCAAAAAAGAAACCACAAGATAAATTTGAAAATATTTCGAGCTGCACTCCAGTCTGGGTAATGGACTGAGACCCTGTTTGTAAGAAAACAAAACAAAACAATCTCAAAAAGCTATAAAATTAAATGCCAACTTTCCTCAGTCCCCAAACTCTCCGTGGCTCTCTCTTGTCCTCAGAGTGAAGCATATGCTTCTCACTGTGGGCTCCAGGACCTAGGTGGCCTGACCAGTGCAGACCCTGTCACCGTCTCCTCCTCTGCCCACTCGCCCACACTATCACGCTGTCCAGTCACATAGACTCTTTATTTTTCCAAATGCCAAGCTCCTGATCACCCCTGGGCCTTTGCCTTTGCAGTTTCCCCTGCCAAGACCAGTCTTTCCCCAGACCTTCCTATTCCTGCCTCTTCCTGGCTTGGCTGCCTCTTTCTGATGCTTCAGGCCTCAGCCCAAATGTCACCTCTTTGGAGAGGACTTCCTTGAAATCCCTGCCTAACAGCCCCTATCATGGTCGACACTTTTTTCTTTTTGGACTTAGGTTTTGACATAAAGAAGTTTCGGCCGGGCGCGGTGGGTCACGCCTGTTATCCCAGCACTTTGGGAGGCCGAAGCGAGCAGATTACAAGGTCAGGAGATCGAGACCATCCTGGCTAACACGGTGAAATCCTGTCTCTACTAAAAATGCAAAAATTAGCCAGGCGTGGTGGCGGGTGCCTGTAGTCTCAGCTACTCCGGAGGCTGAGGCAGGAGAATGGCGTGAATCCGGGGGGCAGAACTTGCAGTGAACCGAGATCACCCCATTGCACTCCAGCCTGGGTGACAGAGCGAGACTCTGTCTCAAAAATAAAAAGAAAAAAAAGTTGTTTCGTAAAAATGACTTGGGCAGCTATCATCTATTTAAAAGGTCTGACTTTGGTGAAATAACTTGGGCTTTCCTGTTCTTTGAGTTTTGATAAAACAACTGTAAAACCATCTGCCTTTTTTTCTTTTTTCTTTTTTTTTTTTTTTTTTTTTTTTTTTGAGACGGAGTCTCGCTCTGTCACCCAGGCTGGAGGGCAGTGGCGCAATCTTGGCTCACTGCAAGCTGCAGCTTCTGGGTTCACGCCATTCTCCTGCCTCAGCCTCCTGGTTAGCTGGGACTACAGGTCATCTGATCTGCCTTTTTTTTTTTTAAATTGAGATTAATTTATACTTTGTTATTACTATTTTTTCTTTTTTTACAGAGAGGGTCTCATTCTGTCTCCCAGGCTAAAACATAGTTATTCATAGCTCATTGCAGCCTCAAACCACCTTGGCTTTGTAACAGTAGGTCCTCAGTCACCTGTCTCATCTTCTATGGATGTTGGTTTACTTCAGCTTTCTAATTATTTGGAGGTCAGCTTAGCTCAGTGGTTAGCACAAGTTGATAATAAATGCTTAAGCATGAGGGTGCAAAGAAAGGGGTAGGGAGGTGCAAGACTCTCAGCTTCAAATGCCCAGTCCCCTGCTCATCTGCTCCCACCCCTGTCTAGCCTCTGCATCTAAGCCCAACTACATGACTCCTCTCCTTAAAAGCTTTCTTGGATTTTTCCTATCCTTTCTGCTCTGCTCTATCCTTGGGTCAGTGGATCCACCCATCTTCCTTTGTGCTGGGCAGATGCCACAGCTTTCTGCTTTCTGGCTGGACAAGCCAAGGAGGGCAGGTGTGTGTGTGTATAGAAGATGCCTCCCTAAACCTTGGTCTTTTGCCTCATGTCTGGCACATTCAGCCTTTGCTGACATCTCCTCAGAAATACCAGCCTCACCAGCATCTGCCAAATGGGGTAGCAGGGGTCTGTCTGGAGCTTGGGTGGGATTCTCACATGACTACGAATACACATGCACACCCTGGGCTTCCACATCTGCATTTGTTGGTTGGCTCTTCACACCTGAGTCTAAGACAGGTCAATGGTGAGTGGCTGGATTTGCAAGCGTGTGTATTTCAGGGCAGGGTGTCAGCTGGAGCAGTCTGAGAGGAAGTTGTCAAGGGAAGCTAAAGAGGAGGCAGTCAGTAATGTCTCTCTTGACCTGTTGCACTCTCCAAATTTTACTGTCCTTTCCTAGGCCTGATCTAGAGGGCTGTCTAGTCTAGGTGAGACAAGTCTGGATAGATCTACTGCCAGCCCCATGGGGTCAGAACTAGAGGAGAAGGATGGGGACTGTGGGATTCCAGAGGAATGGCAAGGAGGGCTTGCTGGAGGAATGGGTTTTTTTTCAGCTGAGTTATTTTTTCTCTGTAGCTCAGTGCAGTGGCACAATCACTGCTCACTGCAGCCTTGACCTTCCATGCTCAATTGATCCTCCTGCTTCAGGCTGGGACTACAGGCACATGCCACTGCACACGGCTAATTTTTGTATTTTTTTGTAGAGATGGGGTTATACCATGTTGTTCAGGCTGGTCTTGAACTCCTGGGTTCAAGTAATCCTCCTGTCTTGGCCTCTCCGAGTGCTGGAATTATAGGCATGAGCCACCTCATCTGACCTGACCTGAGTTCTGAAGTGTGAATAGGAGTTGGGCAGGTGAAGAAGGGAAAAAAGGGCCTTCTAGACAGAAATATTTATCAAAGATAGAGAGAAGTAGGCAGGAGCTGATTAGGGCAGGGTCTTTCAATGTCAGGCTGGGTGCAGGAATTTCTCACAAGGCCAGTGTGGAACCATGGAGAATATGTGAGCAAGGGAGGCCATGATTAGAGCTTGATCTCTCAGGGGCAAGAGTAGGGGACAGTTTGGTTCTTGGGTGAGGGAATCAGGAGAGTTCCAGTGTCATGGGGGGTCAGGAGAGTCAAGCCCCACAGGAGCTCATCTGTACCTGTCCCCTCGCGCCAGAGTTGGTGGAGGACCTCCTGATGTTCTGGAGGGTCAGATAAGTCCTGGGACACAGTGACTTACAGTGTGAGGTACACACCAGCACAGAGAGGGTACCACCACATGCTCTGCTCAGATGATCACAGCGCTGACCTCATCTCCAGCCTCCTGCCATCACCTTCCCAGTTCTGATAGTCCTGCGTTCCATGGCAGCCAGGAGCTGCATGTTAAAATAATAAATCAGCGCCATCCCTTCTCTCCTCAAAACCCTCTCGTAGCTCTTCTTTGCTCTTAGACTAAAACTCAGAGTCTCCCATAACTCAGAAGGCCCAGAGTGGCCCAGCCTCTGTGGCCTCTTGCCTTCCCCAACCACTCCAACCTCACTGCTGTTTCTCTCCCTCCTTGAGATCTGTGTACCTGCTGTTTCTTCTGCATGGAATTCACTTCCTGTCTTAGCTCTAGGATCTCAGTTCAGAAAGGCCTCCTCAACTTCCTGCCTCTCAGGATTCCCCTGTCACATGACCCCTGCACTAGCCATAGTGTCCCTATAACTAAATTGGGACAGATTCAGAAGGGGCTTTATTGAGCCTTCTATGCTCAAGAGACTCAGGCCAAGCCCAGCCCTGGTCCCTGCTCTCATGAGACCATGGGCGTAGGGGTCATTTTGGGGATTATCTTGGCACTGGGTCCTGTGGGATGGTGTCACCTCCAGCCTCCAGGGACCCATCCTAACCATGGGTCCCTATGTGTTTAATACATTTAAAAGGAATATATACAGCTCTTAAGAAACCAGGATAGATTTAATTGATCTGCCGACCTTAGTCCCCCAAAGCAAAGGAGGTGGAAATGGGCAGATTGAAGGCAGAGGCAGAGATGAGTGCTGACAGCTGGGGTTGGGGATGAGGAGTCTGAGGCACCTCTGGAGTCTGGAGACTCTAGTCCCACTATTTAAAGAGTACCATCCCCTCCATAGGAGCTTGAATCTCTTCTCCAGCTGTTGTCAAGGAACTTTGGCCATGTCATGGTCCATGCCACCTCTCCACCTTCTGTCCCCACGGGCGACTTCCCAAACCTAGCACACCATTGGCGTTATCCTGTGGGCATTTAACCTGGCCTGACATCAGGATCTCTTAGAATTATGAAATGTCCAGATTATAGACTCTCCCACTTTGCCCTCTCCAAACCCCTGATAAATGAGGAGCGTTAACTGACCTATCACATGTTTTCCTGTAACATGCTGTGCCTCCTATCTTGAGGTCATTACCACACACTCATCACCTTTGCTGACTTTCCTTTTTCTGCTCTCCTAGATTGTGACTTTCTTGAGGACAAGAAACTCAGGAAATGTACATTTAGTGATGCATTGATTAGACAAATATTTATTGCACATCTGCTGCATGCTAAACAATGAAGACTGCAATGTCCTAGAAGGCATCTTCTTCTACTATGAATTAATGATTAAATGGGTGGATGACTGAAAAAATGAAGCAAGGGGAAATGTTTGCTGCTGCTTAGAGGGAACAGAAGAATATAGAGACTAAATTGGAAAGTCTATGAGGTAGTAGTCAAATCAATCTTTTCCTCTAATCTATCCTTAGGACCTAGCACTGTGCCTGGCACATTTTAAACAGTCCGTAGATAATTATTGGAAGGTATATTGGTGGATGAAGTATGTCATTGAATGATTGCATTTGCCTTCAGAACTAACTGTAAAACTTTGCAGATTTCCAAGCACGTTGCTATGTATGGCCTTATTTTCTTTCCATTCTACTTTAGATGTGAGGTAAGTAGGCCAGACTGTGACCCCCATTTTACAAGTAAAGAAAATCACAGACGCTCTGTAATTTGTGCTCAAAGATACCAGTCAGGTACTGTAGAGGGATCACACAAATATAAGCTTCTGACTCAAAATTCAGTAACCCAGGCTTTTCACTAACCCGGGCTGTTTAAGTAGGTTGGAATGACTG